AAAAGAAATGTAATAAAATTCGTTGCGAAATTCAATTATTTTCATAAATAAAATAATATTCTTCACAGGATTTCAAGTAATTTTATAAATACAATTTAAAGCAAATTCTTCGAGAAACATGATGAATTTCATAAATTTTATGAAAATTCTTCAAAACAAAAAATGAATCATTATTAATTTTTTAAAAATAATTTTTGCAAAAGGTCTTTCAGAGAATTTTCAAATTCATTTGTTTACAATTCAATGTTACGAAATTTTTAATACTATTCAGAAATTCTTCAATTAATAATAAATAATAATAAATAAATTCTTCATTATTTAAAAAATAAAAAATTTAAATAATTTTTCAAAAACATTCAATTAAACTTTTTCAAATTCAATTATCATCTAAAATTTTAACTAAAAATCAAATAAAAAAAATTTTTTATCAGAAAATTCTACGAGAATTCAATTATTCAAATATGAAAATAAAACAATTATTAAATAAATATGAATGTTTCTGAAAATTGAATTCTCATAAAGAATTTTATTAACAAATTTTTAAACAAATAAATTTTTTCGACGAATTTTAATAAAAATTGCAAAAATAATTATATTTTTCTCGAGAAAAATTTTAAAGAACTTTGATAATTTAAAAAATGTTAAAAATTCAATTATTTCTATATTATATCAAAATTCTTCGCCGAAATTCAATTATTTACAGGAATTTTAATAAAATTCGTTGCAAAATTTAAATATTTAAATAATAATTAACAATATTCATCACAAAAATTCGATTATTTTCAAAAATAATAAAATTCTTCTTAAAAGTTAATTATTTACATAAGTAATGAACAATATTCATGACAAGAATTCAATTTTTTTCAAAAAGTAATAAAATTCTTCACAGAAATTCAATTATATTCAAAAATTTTTTAAAAATTCTCGTCAAAATTACAGTTATTATTTTTATAAATAAAAAAATTCTTCTTCGAAACGTAAATTATTTTCAAAAAATTTCTTCATTTCAATGATTTTCAATATCTACTATTTTAATCAAAATTACCCAAAAGAATTCAATTATTAAAAAACAATTTTAATAAAAATGTACGCCAGCATTTAATTATTATCATAAATAATAAAAATTTCCCAGGAATTCAATTATTTAAAAGAAATGTAATAAAAATTAGTTGCAAGACTTCAATTATTTTCCAAAATAATGATATTTTTCACAGGATTATTCAATTATTTTGTAATACAATTTAATACAATTATAAATTCTTTATAAGAATTCAATGATTTTCAGGACATCGATAATTTAATTATTTCTGAAAATAATGGAATTCTTGAATAGAATTTTATTAAAACTTTTTTTAATAATTGAATTTCTGCGAAAAAATTAATTATTTCTGCAAATAATTGAATTTTTGCCAAATTTAAAAAAGTAAATAAATTTTTTAGAAGAATTTTATTAAAATTGCGTATTAGTGTGTGTTTATTTACTCTCCCTGCAATAGGCAGGGTTCGAGACTCCCAGATACATTTACAAATCAACTTATTCTATATGTACAAAACTTCTTAACCTATAACGTCGCTCTTATTCCACATCAACAACTTAATCAACACGCAACTTAACCTATTCTCATCACACTCATCCACTCAAAATTCGCCAGTGCCAGGGCTTCCGTTTCCAGTTCCCTTTGTCCATACTGACTGATTCCCCATTAACGCCCCACCCCTTTAAATCCTAAACCTCCATCTTCCTTCCTGTCCTTCTTCATTTCTCCCCATTCACCCGATCATCTATTCCAACCTCAAGCACTCGTCCATTACCTTCTCTCACGCACCATTTTACCCCATCCACCCACACACATTCCCTACCCATTCTTACTTCTCTTCCATTCCTTCTTTCGATCCATGCCTTCTCTCCCAGTAACCATCTTATTCTCCTTTCCCTCCACGTTCTATCCTCATCTATTCTCTCAACACATCCTTTCAACCTTCCTTTCATCCTCATAACCTCCTCTTTCTCCTCCTCACTTCCCAGTTCTACTAACCACATCCTCGGAATTCCATTCGCATCCATACTCATCGCTTTCATCTGCCTAATATTAATTTTCACCCCTATCCTTTCAGCCAGTCTCCCCACCTCTCTTCTTCCTTCACTTAAACCTGCATTCATACCCCTAATAATTATATTTCTTTTTCTTTTATCCTTTTCCATCCATTCCACTCTTCTTTCCAGCTCATTCACCTTTTGTTCATAATATACACTTTCACTTCCCTCACTACACATTTTTACCCCCTTTTTCAACATAACCTCCATTTTCTTATCCTCTTCCTTCTTCTCTAAAATAAATTTTTCCAAATCATCCACTCTTTCTCTCATACCTTCCAACTCACTCGCCCACCTTTTCCACTTTTCCTGCATCCTTTCCATTTCCTCATCTAATTCATCAATTTCTTTACCCCTCTCATCACCTAATTCACACACCGTTACAAAATTCTTTCTCACTCTCACAAAACGCTCTTCCATTGCCTCATTCAACATTTCCACTAACTCCATCAAGTCCATACAGTCTTCACACGTCATCACCTTTCCATTCTTCCCAAACCCTCTTTTAAATATTGGCGCCTTTTTCTCAGTCTCTCGCACACTACTTGAATCAAATTCAGCCATTCCAGAAATCTACCTTATCATTCAATATTTCCCAATGTCTCTCTCTCTCTTTTCTCTCACTTCAAGCAACCTAACCTCACAACATTCACTTCTCTATTTTTACCTTTTTTATCACTCACACTTAACCACTCGCACACATACACTCTTTTTACTTTCACCACCACTCTTTCCTTTGTTATCTCAAACACTACACTACCCACCCTTCAGTAAAATACTCAAAATTTTGCCAAAAACTCTTAAACCTTTACAAACGCGTGCACAACTCAACGGTACCGGAAACGGAAGCCTAAAATTGCGTATTAAAATTTTCTATTTATTAAAATAATTGAATTCTTACAAAAAAATTTTAAAAAATGTTTTAAAAAATTTAATTTTTCCTGAAATGCAATTAAAATTGTATTTAAAATAATTGAATTTCAGCAAAAATTACATTATTTATGAAAATAATTAAATTCTTGAATTGAATTTTATTAAAAGTTTTTTAAATAATTGAACTGCTGTGAAAAATTAAATTTTTTAAAATAATTGAATTTATTTGGAGAATTTTCACAAGATTTTTTAAAAATAATTGATATTTTCGATGAAATCAATTTTAAATTTCTATTGAAAATAAGTAAAATCTTGATAAGAATTTTATTATTTATATAAAAATAATTGAATTTTTTACGAAGATTTTTATTATTTATAAATTGACTTTTTGCAAAGAATTTTTATTACAATTATTGAAAATAGTTGAATTCTTCATAAAATTGAATTACTTTCAAAATTTTCAGTATAAAAATTATTTAAAAAAAACTCCATTATTTTCAAGAATATTGAAATAAATTCTTAAAAACAAGTCAATTATTTTTAAAAATTTTAATAAAAATCTTATTGCTAAGGATTAGTATATTTTCAGTACAATTTTAATTACATTTTCTCGAAAGAATTCAATTATTAAAAAAAAAAGTTTATAAAATTCTTGAAATGAATTCAATTATTTTCAAATTTTTTTATAAATACTTTGCAAAAATTCAATGATTTTCAGTAGATTAATTTTAAAAATTTTCAACATTCAATTATTCAATAAATAATTTACTTTTGTATTTAAATAATTCAATTCTCGTAAAGTTTTTTGAAAATCTTAATTCCTATAGAAAAATAATAATAATTTCATTTGTTAATTAGCATTTTTTTTTAAATTTTCTAATTTTTAATATTATTTTATCATGAATCAGAAAAAAATACCTGCATATTTTCGATTTGTCAAAAAATCGAAAGAATGAAGTTGAAAAAAAATATTTTAAATAAAATATACTTAATAAAAAGTAACTTCAAACTGCGGACGGAATGAATGAAAAAATACAAAAAGTAATATAATTAATTTTAATTTAATTACAAATTTCATAGCAACGATTATAATTTCCAGAACGTTTTCCTAAAAAATGTGTAGAAAATGTAGAAATAGAAATAATTTTTTTTTCTTGATAAAGAATTTTTTTTTTTTTTTTTTTTTTTAATCAAAGAACAAAATCAATTGACCATTATATTGGTACTTTGATGGGAGAAATTCTTTATAAGTGATATGGTATAAAATCTGCCACTTGAGCGAAAAATCCCTTAATCCAAAGTGAAAGGGAGTTTGGATATAGGTGGGATCTGAAATGATCAAAGCTTTGCGAGGGGCATAACCGAACCAATTAAGCGAACAGAGATTCGTATAACCGGAGGCGTAACTCGAGTGAAATGACTGACGGATCTTCACTCGACGATATACGTGTCAAAGCAGTTTAAGCTCTTGCGGCTTCTGAAAGTGACAAATTTAATATCAATTTTTGTTAATTTATCGTGATTTGCGGTTGGAGTGACAATTTTTATTTTGCCTCTTCTTCTCTTCTTTTTAGGAAAAAAAAACAAATGGCAGTGTATTTATTGTTTTTTTATTATATTTTTATAATAAATTTTCATTTACACGTTGTTGAATTAAATTGAAATTAAAGTAAAAATAAAAAATGTAAATCTATCCAAATGAAAAAAATGTATATCTATCGAAATGAAAGTAAAAGTGAAAAAGAAATTAAATTAAAAAAAAAAATCTATTGAAATGAAACTGAAAAAATAAGAATAACAATTTCTAATATTTTGGATAAAATGATTTACAATTTGGAGAAAAATAAAAAATCTGCACTCTATATTTAATGATTTTTTGATCAATATATTTTTATACGAATACAGTAATATATGAAAATAAATACTTTGTGATCATCAATTATTTTTTACACATATTTGAAATTTTAATGTTGAACATACATTATTAACTCATTTACACACTCATCTAATAATTATATCCATACATAAAAATTATGCAATTTAAAAAAAAAAAAAAATTGTTCCCTATTAAAAAAACTTTACGCGCACTCATTTTTCTCTCAATGATGACGAATACTTATTTTATCAATAGAAATAAATGAATAATTATTGCTAGCTATTTGAATGGTTAACTTTTAAATTGTAAGATATTTGTAATGCATTTTAAATGTTTGTAAAAATGATACTTAATAGTCTCTAAATAATTTATTGGCGTAAATAATTTTTTTTTGGTATCTCTTTGCAAAATTACATATTCCATTAGTCGATTGTAACATTTAGCAACGCAGAATGTATATGAAATGTAATATTTCTGTAGTATTTGCAATATTTCTGTATAGTATTTGTAATATTACTGCAATGTTCCGAATATTACTGTAGTATTACTAATAATATATATATGTATTTTTTCTCACTCTTAACTCCCAAGATTTCTAACGATCTTTTAGTGTATTAATTTTTTCGCTAAATGGTATTATTTCATCAAAAGAATAATTATGCCGATAATTGAATGGATTTATTTAAATGGCAATAAAGAGAAAAAAGAGTGGTACTAGAATTGAAATGAAACTAATTTTCATTATAGCTGATGAGTTACAACCATCTTCATCGCACTGAGTACACAGATCTTTATTTGCTTCGTTACATTTTGGCTGCTCTTCTTTTGCACAACCTTTTTCCATTATTTTGTTGTCTGTAAAAAGCAGAAAAAGAAGAAATGAGAATTAAATGAATTTGATTTTTTTTTAAATTCTTAGTTTGGTGAACAGGAAATAAAAATTTGTCCTGAAGAAACAAAACGAATATACATAGTGATTATGAAAATCAATTAATGAAGTAATAACCTAAAAGAAAAAATCGACTGATAGAAACAATGATGGAAAATTGACTAACAGATTAATTAGACTGAGACAAGTGAAAGACGTAAAATTTTGTTTTCGGAAGTACCAAGTCAAAAAGATTTTTTTTTTGTTTTTTACCCATAGTAATCGAAAAATGTTTTAAATATTCCATTTTTGTTGTGGCATTTCGAATTGTGCGACTAGGTTTTAGAAGATTTACCCGAATTTTAGATTTACCATTTAGTTTTATTCGATTGTTATTTATCAGTTTGGTAACTAAAAATAACACTACTATTGAAAATGAAGCATGGTCTTAATAGGACGATGTGAAATTATGAGAAATAAAGATGTTATAATTTTAATACCTTTGTCAACTATTTTGTAACAGGAAAATCCATCCTTGGCACGAAATATGGATCGGACGTAACGACTTTGACGATTCAGGGCCGTAAGCGGATTGGCGAGTTTATTTATTAACGATTTCACTGGTCCAACAGTAGAAATTGTGGTGGTTATCGTTGTTGATTCATCTGTTGTGGTTGTCTCATCTGTTGTACTTGATTCTTCTGTTGTTGTTGGTTCCTCTGTTGTCGTTGTAGATTCAGAACTAGATGTTACTCCATCTGTTGTTGTTGGTTCCTCTGTTGTCGTTGTAGATTCAGAACCAGATGTTACTCCATCTGTTGTTGTTGGTTCCTCTGTTGTCGTTGTAGATTCAGAACCAGATGTTACTCCATCTGTTGTTGTTGGTTCCTCTGTTGTCGTTGTAGATTCAGAACCAGATGTTACTCCATCTGTTGTTGTTGGTTCCTCTGTTGTCGTTGTAGATTCAGAACCAGATGTTACTCCATCTGTTGTTGTTGGTTCCTCTGTTGTCGTTGTAGATTCAGAACTAGATGTTACTCCATCTGTTGTTGTTGATTCATCTGTTGTGGTTGTCTCATCTGTTGTACTTGATTCTTCTGTTGTTGTTGGTTCCTCTGTTGTCGTTGTAGATTCAGAACTAGATGTTACTCCATCTGTTGTTGTTGGTTCCTCTGTTGTCGTTGTATATTCAGAACTAGATGTTACTCCATCTGTTGTTGTTGGTTCCTTTGTTGTCGTTGTAGATTCAGAACTAGATATTACTCCATCTGTTGTTGTTGGTTCCTTTGTTGTCGTTGTAGATTCAGAACTAGATATTACTCCATCTGTTGTTGTTGATCCATCTGTTGTTGTGGATCCAGAAGTAGATGTTGGGTCTTGAGTTGAACTCGATGCAGTGGTAGATTTTGTTTCTTCTGTTGTACTAGATCCTTGACTGGAAGTTGTTATCTCCGTCGTACTTGATCCTGAACTAGAAGTTGAACTTAATCCTGGAGTCGAAGTTGCTTCTCCAGGAGTTGTCGTTATACCCTCAGTAGTAATAGTTGCTTCCGTTGTTGTTGCTGTCCCACTACTGCATACCTTCTCTTTTTCAATACATTTTCCTGATGCATCAATACTACAAACCATGCATTTTAAACTGAAACCTAAAAAAAATAGTTCACTTCTCAGTAACTGTAAATAAAACTACTATATTTTATATCATGTGAAGAAAATGAAGAAAGAAGCCAAACATGCGGAAAAAAAAAGAAAAATCATTGTAAAAGACAAAAAAAAGAGGAAAGAAAAAAGTAGGAAAGTACCAAAATGGGTAAAAAAAAGGAGAAAGTAGGAAAGTGCCAAAATGATTAAAAAATGGGTCAGAAAAGTGGTGAAGAATCATTTTGTAAGAAATAACTTTTCTCATATTCAAACTCACCTTCTTGAGTACATAACAAGAATAATAGAACTCCGAAAAATAATTTTTCTCTTAAACTATTTTTGCCCTTTAACATCATTTTGCTGCTAAAGGAAACTTATGTATTAATTCAACAACAATTTAAAAGTTAAATAAGAAAAAGATAAAAACTAGTTCAAAAAACAAAAAAAAAAGAAATTAATACATTAAAATGATAATAAATATAAAAAACGCTTTTTTTCACTTATTGCAACAATTTTTTCTTTTTTGCGATGATTTATTTTTCAACTGAACTTTTCACTCTTGACAGTGCTGTGGTTAAATTTTCGAGGAAGCTCACACTAGCACCTCTGATAATAAACTAATCAGTCCACCAAGTCTTATCCACAAAAGCGCGTTTATAAGTAGTGTGTTTAAAATATTGGCTAATATTGTCATTATCACCTGGCAAAGTAAGCGACAAAATAAGATAAAACTATTTTTTAATTAAAATATTACGAATTACGATAAATTGTAATTATTAATTATAAAATATTATTCGCTTATTGTATAGTGATTCATCTTCTTCCTGTTATTATTAGTTGTATTTTCGCCTCATTATTACAGCTACAGTTGCTAATTGATTTTTTTTTTAATTCATACTGAACTTTAATGCGAATAAATATTTTAATTTCTTCTATTTTTCCTTTTCTCTCCTCTATTTTCTATAAACATTTTTTTTCACTATTAATCACAGATTTTATTTATAATTACATATATTAATAATTCATCATTTTCGACAATTAATACTTGTCATTTTTAATAATTTAATCTCTAAGTTTAATTTTTAATAATTATCAGGTTTCATTTGTTAAAATTAATACTTTTTAATAATTTTCTCCTCTGTAAATTCCACATGTTTTAACAGACTTTTAGCTATATACAAAATTGTCATTCCTTTGAAACTATATTCATAAATTCAATTTTCAATTATAGATAGAATACATATTTGCTTTTTTGATAAAGTGCATGAATTTTCATATATACAGTGCATAAAATTTAAATAAATATATATGTATATATACATGCCTCACAAATGACATGAAAATACAAAATTTTTTTTTCAAAATTCTATGAATGCAATATTGATTTTTTTAACATTACAAAATTAGAAATTATTTTTAAAAAATTCAAGTGTTTATAAAATTTAACAAAAATTTGACTGATAAAAGGGTTTCTTTTATAATTCTGTGTCTGCGGATTTTTAAATCAGAAAGTGAGTCATTATGATAATCTTAAAATGCATAAAGCATTTTCACCTCCTCCTCAAAAAAAAAAAAAAAAAAATTATCTTTATTATTATATTTTTATTATAATTACCTTTTGTCTTTCAACTAATTTAATACTGTTTTATGTAAAATTTTGTATAAATTTAAATATATATTCGAAAATTATATAATTATTGTTAAAATAATAATTAATAAAATAATAAATAGAAAATAAAATAATAAAATTTATATTAAACTACATTTATAGGTAATTCTAATAATAAATTAGATTTTATATCTATTGCGGTGCGTAAGGCTTCATTTCAAAATATAATATTAAATTATTATTGTTAGAAATGAACAATTATTGTAATTAATAATTATAATTATAAATAAATACAAAAATATTAAAAATACAAAAATAATGAAAACAAAAAAAATTACAAAAACTATAAAACTAATGTAAATAACAAAAATAACACAAATACTAAAAAAAAATATGAAAAGAGATTATATAATTATATAATTTAAGTGAAAATATTTAATTAGATAATTATAATAGACAATTAATCGGTTATTTGTATTTCAAATGAATTTTTTTTTCCATTGATAAAGTTACCATTTTATTATATAATCAGAAAACAAAAATTTTACAACTTTACAATAAAAATTAGTATAGAAAAATTTATAATTTGAACTTAAAAAAATAGAAAAGGTATTTTATGAAATCTTATATTTCTTTTTTTTCGACAACATAATCTAATAATCGATTTCATTGTAGCTTTTAATGTGATAATAGTTGTCAAATCTAATATATATATTTGCCGATACACATAGGCAAATAAAAAAAAAAAGAAAACATACTTTATATAATTTGCTATTATCATTAAGAATGTATGAAAAATAGTAATAAAAAAAATCATGACATACTGTGAATTTAATTTTACGAAATTTTATATTTTTTATAAATATTTACAAATGAATATAATGTGAGAAAAAAACAAAAGAAAATATTACAATTATTTAACAACACGACAAGCTCATATTATAAAAATATCATATTTTTGATTCATTGTTTATTTATTTTTCTTAGAATTATTATTTTATATTTTATATTTATATTATATTTATTATATTATATTTATATTTTATATTATTTTATATTGCTTAGAAAAATTAATAAATTCATATTTCTTATAAATATTTACAATAAGTGAATATAAAAAAAACAAATGAAAATATTATAATTTGATAACAATAATGATAATAATAAATAAATAAGAATATAAAATTATTAAGTAATTAAGTAAGTAATTATTAAGTAATTAAATTATTAATTAATTAATTATAATATTATAAGAAATTAAGAATATAATATTACATAATAAAAAGAATGAACTTTTGTTTTAAAATCTGTCAATTTTTTGTTTTGTTTTCAGCACTCTAGACGTCATCGAAATTTTTCGACAACTTTATGGAACGAGAGAACCACAAGCCATCCAGATGATTCGAGTTCACTATCGCCAATGGTGTTACACGAAGATATTATTAATCATAGTGAGTAACTTTTTTTTATTTTTTCCTTTATTGAAAAAAATTCATCAGATATAATTCGTTTTTTATTTCAAAATAGATAAATAAAACAGAAAATCTTTTGCTCTATAAATTCTTTTTAATTTCATTTTACGAAATGAATTTCAAATATTTGTTTTTTTTATTAAATTTATTACAAATTTGAAATCATTCTTTTCACTGTTCTTCAGAATTTTCCTTAAGGTCATGTTATTTAGTGGTCATGTGCTCCATATACTTTACTATGGGAACACGTGACCACTGAATAACATGACCTTAACATTTAAAAAAAGATAAAATAAAATAATTGAAATAACTAAAAGGAATGAATGGAATTTTTTTTTTTTATAAAAAGAAAATTAAATAAACATAATTATTAATATTAAATATTTATTTAATATTCGTCATCAAAAATTCGAATACTTAAATAAAGAATTTTTTATTATTTCGAGAAAAATATTATACATTGAATTTTTTTTATTATAAAAATTTTTTTTTTAAAAAATAATAAATAAATAAAAATTGACTCTCAAGATTTCAAGAAATTGAAGGGAATTTCATATAGACTACAATAACTGGGTGAATTTTTTGAGGGTGGGGTGGGGGGGCAAAGAGGCATAAGGAAGGGGACATCTGGTAGTCATAATAGTGGATCGCGAAATTCAATATCAGACTTGAAAATTAGCATAGAGATCGATTTCGAGATTCGAGTCAGTGCCACCAACCAAGAACTCTCTCGTTTCTAGTACTGGCCTCTGAGTCTCGAATCCGTTTTACTTTGCCCTCACTTGCCGATCTCTCGTCTTTATAGATCGTCTTACTCATAAACCGCGCCAATTGAATTTTCCTCTCTCTCTCTCGTCCACTCTCTTTTTCTCTGTATCGAAGAAAAAATCGATTTCCTTACTTCCCCTGCTTTTCCTGTTTAAATTTTTTTTCACCGTTTTACCTCATCTTTCAAGCAAAAAAAAAAAAAAAAAAAAAGAATCTAGATATTGATAAGATTCGATTGAACGAGAAAAGGATAATATTTATTCCTATGTATCGAAAAAGAGATCAATTTTTCTTATAGATATTTGTACCAATATTACCCCAAAAATTAACGTTATCAATATTCTATTTATTTATTATATTAAATAATATTTTTATTTTTTATTTCTCCAAAAATCGAATTAAATTAAAATTAAATCAAAATTGTTTATTATACTATAAATTAATTAACTACGAATTAATAAATTTACCTATTAATTAGTTAGAAGAAATGTTACTAAATTAGTCAATTACTGATTAATTAATTTAGTCACTAACTATAGAAAAGAAAAAATTAGTTAATAAACACTAATTTAGTGAATTACTAAATTAATCAAACTAATTAGTAATTATTAATTAATCAAACTAATTAGTAATTAATTAATTATTAATTAATAAACAAAAACTTACTTTTAGTTAACACTAAAAAACACTAATAAACAAACAACTTAGTCTTTTTTAATTTATTAATTAGTTAATAATAAATAAGTACTGAATTTGTTAACTAACAATTATTCAAACTGTTTATTACCTACTAATTAAAAAAAATTATTAATTAACCGAAGAAATGTAATCTAAAGTAATAAATTAACGAATATACTTTTTTTGAAAAAATATAGTCAATTATTCAATTAATTAACTAACTAAACAATTTATTAATTAACTAACTAAACAATTTATTAATTATTAACTAAATAATTTATTTGCTCATTATTCAATAATAAATTCGTAAATTAAACTATATAAACTATAAACTAATAAACTACCCAATTTATTTGTTATAATTAGTTATTAATAAATACTAAATTAGTTTAATTGATAATAATTAATCAACACTGTAAACTACTTAATTACGAATTTATAAGTTTATCTGTTAGTTAATCATTAATAATTACTCAATTTTCAATCAGTTTATTACTAATTAAATAATTTATTTAATTATCACTAATTAAAATACACATTAAATTAGTTCTCAACTAACTAATTAAATTTTATTAATTCTAATCTAAAGAAATACGCAAATTAACTAATTAATTATATTATTTAAAAAAAAATACAGCTAATTAATTGAATAATTTATTTATTTACTAATTATTAATAAATTAACTTTACTAAGAGAAACTAATTAATTTATTTATATATAATTAATAAATAATCAATGATAAAAATGATAAATTTATTTATTTTAAGTTATAGTTTATTTTATTAAGTTATAGGTAAATATACACTGACTTAGTGTTATAATAACTTAATTACTATTTAGTAATAACTGAATAACTTAAATTGGAAGTTAATTCCAATCAAATTATTTACTAATTATTAACTAACAAAAAGTTAGTTAATTACAAATAAATAATTTTATTTATTATAGTTAATGATAAATACTTAATTTGTTAATTAATAATTAACTAGTTAAGAAGTTAATTAATAATTACTAATTAAGAAAATAGGAAATACCAAAGAAAGTATTAACTAATTAATAATAATTACATTATAATTAAAATTAATGTAATTAATTAATTTTTTATTCTACTGAAAAATTCTACTGATTTTTTTAAAAAAAATAATTTTTAATTAATATTATAATAATAAGTAAAAAGAAAAAAATATTTCCTTCGAGCCGGATTTGAACCAGCGACCTATGGATCACTATTTTCATAAATTGCCAACTACAGTCCACCGCTCTACCAACTGAGCTATCGAAGGTGTTGATGAATCATTTCGATTTGCTCAAACGGCATCGATAGTTTCTCAAACTCTGACGTCACATTTCGCCCCACTCTCCTTTCCCCTCTTCACTTACCTTAGTCACGTCAATGTCCAATTTAATATGAATTTCTAATTTATTCCATTTACAGCATTTGTATTTATATTCTTTTTAACACTCTCCGCCTGTTACTAGACGAACGTATTTTTTTTTTTTTTTTTAATTTTTTGTCTTTTTTGGCAAATATAGTAATTAAATATTTATGATAATTATTATTTAATATTTATGTTAATAAGATGCCTCATTATTTATAATGAAATAATTATGATTGAATAGTAATGTTAATAAGAGGATTAATTATTAATAATTGGGCCTTATTAATAAAGAAATAAATTGTTAATTAATTAATTAATAATTAAATGCCTCATTATTATTAATTAAATAATTATGATTGAATATTGGTGGTAAAATAATTAGGCCTTATTAATAAATCAATAAATTATTTATTATAAATTGTTAATTAATTTAATTAATTAATTAATTATTAGATACCTCTTTATTAATAATTAAATAATTATGATTGATTATTGGTGGTAGTAAGGGAACTAATTAATAATTATGCCTTATGTATAAATAAATAATTTATTAATATCTGTAAATAAACAAATAATTTAATTAATTTAAAATTAATTAAATACTCATGTTTAGTAATAATTACACTCTTTGTTATTAATAATGATAATTTTTTGTAATAATAATGATAATTTTTGTTAATAATAATGATAATTTTTGTTAATAATAATCATAATTTTTATTAATAATAATTATACTTTTTGTTAATGATAATGATAATTTTGGTTAATAACAATTTTTTATTTTGTTAATAAAAATTATAATTTCTGTTAATTATACTTATATTTTGTATTAATAACAATTAAAATCTTTGTTAATAGCAACTATAAATTTTGTTAATAATATTTAGATATAAATATAAAAAAAAATTGATTGGTATATAAATTATTACAAAATATGATTTACTTTACACGTTATCTTATATTCTGTTTTAATAGAAATCAATTATTATATCATTTATGTGTATAAAGATAAATTTAACTCTTTTTTTTTAATAAAATTGTCAGAATTGTACATCGCACTTTATCATCAAATGAGTCATAAACTTTCAAAAATTGATAAAGAATTTATACAATTAATTGTGATTTATCGTCTCCATTTTTTTTTTCTATTTATCGAATATTATTAATTTTACTAATAAATCCAAATTTTTATTAATTTTTTATTCGACGATAAAATTAAATTCTAATAAATATAAATTGACGATAAATTAAACAAAAAAAAAAACTATTCTTTATCAATCTGACAAGTACCAAGTCGAAGAGAAAAAAAATTACATATAATTCTACAATATAGTTACAATTTCATTATTAAAAAAAAATACATTAACTCTATTAATAAAAATACATTAACTTTATTAATAAAAATACATTAACTTTATTTAATAAAAAATACATTAATATTGTTATTAAAAAAATATTACTTTAAAAATTTTCAATTTATATTTTTTATAAAATTTATATTTTTTAAAGAAAAGAATAATTGACGCTCGTGATAAAAATAGAAACGAATTTTTCGAAAACGAAATGTTTCTGTTTCTCTTTTTGTATGTGTGTGTAGTGGGGGGGGTGGGAAGAGTTTTTTGGCATCAATTCAAACACTGTTTATATTTAATTTTGACAATTGAATTTTTCTCTTATTTTATTTTTTCTTTTGCTTTTTTTCTATAGAGTCGTGCCTAGAAAAATATTGCGGAGCAGGAAGAGAATGCCAAATTTCACCGGATGGAGGAGTCGCCCTCTGCGTTTGTGCGACGAGATGTGCAAGACGTCATAAACCAGTTTGCGGTAGCGATAGAAAAATCTATGCCAACCATTGTGAATTACATAGGGCGGCGTGTAACAAAGGTGTACCATTAACTGCCAGCAGGCTCATGCGATGTCTTCATCGAGGTAAGTGCAAAATATACATATTTTCTTCTCAAGTTCTCAAAGAAAAAAAAAAAATTTTTATTTTAACTATTTTATTTAGGTGCGTAGCCAGGGGTTCATCCCCCCTCGAAAAAACTTCACCTCTGATCAATTCCCCCCCCCCCCTCCCCCTCTCGAAATATATTTTTTGGCTACGACTCTAATTTTGTCCTATAATTATTTTGCTTAATTTTTCATAAATATTTAATTATCTAATAAATACAGGGATAATAGAATTATTTATAGAGTTACGAAAATAGCGAACAATTTGAGATTCAATATGGAGATGATAATCTCCACCTGCGAACGCCAAGGTCACCCCCAGATGGCAGTTTAGTCCTTTCTTGGAATTTTCCGTGCCACCTGGTGGTGACCTTGGCGTTCTCAGGTGGAGAAATTAAACCACCATTTTATCCTCTAGAAACTATTTTTCAATTTAAAAAAATGTCATTGAAAGAATAATTAAATATCTCTTTAAGTAGAAAATTTTTAAGTATATTTTTTTATCTGCATTCTATTCGCAAGTTAATAAATTGAAATCAGTAGAGGGACAAAATTTTGTATGAAATAAAATAATATTTGGATGTGCTCGTCACTTTCGAATAAGCATAATAAATAAATTGAATAAAAGAATTATTTAACTAAAAATTACATTTCTTTTCTTTTTTTTTTGGTCACAGTAGTATTAATTAAAAAAAGAAAAAAAAATTAAGAAGAGAATGAAAAAAATTTTGGCGAAAAAAAAATTCCTTCGAGCCGGATTTGAACCAGCGACCTATGGATTACTATTTTCATAAATTGCCAACTACAGTCCACCGCTCTACCAACTGAGCTATCGAAGGCTGATGGAATTTCTTTTCATTCACTTCGTAATTTTTTAACGATAACCTCATTTTTCATACAGACTTTACTTTCTCTTTTCAAATAAGTTTCAGTTCAGTCTTTCTTTTTCTTATCCTTATCAACGGTCAACAGTTATTTTACAAATACAAACGAATTTTGTACAATTTTCACGCATAACTTTAATTAACGAACGTATCTTCGAAACTAATTCAAATTCTTCTAGGGTAAAATTTACTATTCCTATAATAGTGAATATAGTAAACAATTAAGAAAATTGAACAAAAATTGGAGAGATTTTAGATTTTACTAAAATGGTACGGTAAAAGTTAGTATACGTTCTTTTTCCGTGTATAGTAAATTCAGGAGTAAAATAGATTAGTAAAAATATATTAATGAACCTAAATTAAATTCTCTTGAATTAGGAAGTTAAAAAAAAATTCCTTCGAGCCGGATTTGAACCAGCGACCTATGGATAACCGTTAATTTCAAATTTGCCAACTACAGTCCACCGCTCTACCAACTGAGCTATCGAAGGCTGATGTTAGTGTTTTTTCTTTGCTTTGAAAATTTTTTAACGTTGACCTTATTTTTTCAACCGAATTTCCTTTCTCTTTGGCGGCCTTTTATTATCAATGTACGCCACAACTTTCTGACTAAATGTATAAAATTCATTTTGTAAAACGCTTTTATTGAAACGAAAATTAAGAAATAATAATAATTAAGATTCTTATTAAGGATCGATTTTAATAACGCCGATGAAAAGTTAAGTAATGATTAACTTTTAATTAATGATTTAATTAATGATTAATTGATTAATGATTAACTTAACCGTCCAATCATGATCAGTTTAAATTGACTTTATAATCGTTGATTAATTTTTAATTGGAGTTGGTGAAACTGGACCTAAATATAAAATAATTTACATTAATAACATTTATAATTATTTATGTACTTAATTGAATTTAACCAAATTTGTATATTAAGTAATAAATAAAAAAAAATTGTAAAATAGAAAAACTCGTAAGTTTCCGAATAAATGGAAAAGGCAAAAAAATTCCTTCGAGCCGGATTTGAACCAGCGACCTATGGATTACCGTTAATTTCAAATTTGCCAACTACAGTCCACCGCTCTACCAACTGAGCTATCGAAGGCTGTTGTAAAAACATTTTCTCTCACTCTTGAAATTCGTCGAAAATTGTTTATAATTACCTTATTCTCATCTTATTTTGAAAGTATTTTTCTTTTACTGCTCTTGCCTTTCTCTTTTTTCTCATTCATAATCGTAGATTGTATAATGGATCTTGTAAATAGATTCTTTACCAAATGAACTGTACTATAGGTTTTACAGACACAAAATTTTCAAAACAATCCCTTTGGTATTTTAATTTAACATTTAATTATAGAGTTAATTCTTTTCTGTATTGTTATTTTAATCCTCCACTAGCCAATGATAATCACCCTTTTCAAGTTAACAAAACATTGGAAGGTCTTAATGTCAGGTAGTTTACCTGAGAGTTCCAAAAGCATTGTTATCGTTTTGAAGCGCAATAACACATTTCAGGTAAATTTTTGTTTTTACGCTAAAGAAATGCGTTTTGTATTGCATACGTTAGCAATTCAAAATTTTTGTTTCGATTTTAGTCTTTTTTTAGTGATTTTTGTTTGTTTGACCGTATTAAATATTCATTTGTAAGATAATGAAAAGGCCTATTTTACGGTTTGTTTAGATGATATTTATTATTTTGTTTTTAGTCTTTTTTTTTGTTTTTAATGAAAAATAAGTTGAAATCCTGTTATTATTAATATTATTATTTCTATTCACAGTTTTTTTTTTTTTTTTTTTTGAAAGTTTAATTTTAGTCTAGAGAGTATGATTTTAAACTTTAAAATTTATTTAATCTATTTTTCAGCATAAAATGTAATGAACTTTGCAATATTTAAGAGGTTTGGCCAAATTATCTCTTCGAGGAAGAAGCGAAGGTGATTGCAATTATCAATATTTACTTTGATATTATAATTGAACTAAACGAACTGATTAGAAGTACATAAATTTTAGTGACCTTTTCAACCTTTGATATAGAAATGTTATAAAATTGATATAAAAAAGAGTAAAAATACTTTTTATTCAACTTTTTCTCTTCACTTAAATAATGATCTTAAACTCGTATTATTTGGCTTTCTGATTTGGAAAAATTTGTTATAAATTGATAAAAAATACTGCATCAATTTAGGTTAAAAAATATTTCACTTCAACAGCCTTCGATAGCTCAGTTGGTAGAGCGGTGGACTGTAGTTGGCAAATTTGAAATGAACGGTTATCCATAGGTCGCTGGTTCAAATCCGGCTCGAAGGAATTTTTTTTTAACTTCCTAATTCAAGAGAATTTAATTTAGGTTCATTAATATATTTTTACTAATCTATTTTACTCCTGAATTTACTATACACGGAAAAAGAACGTACACTAACTTTTACCGTACCATTTTAGTAAAATCTAAAATCTCTCCAATTTTTGTTCACTTTTCTTAATTGTTTACTATATTCACTATAATAGCTTATAGGAATAGTAAATTTTACCCTAGAAGAATTTGAATTAGTTTCGAAGATACGTTCGTTAATTAAAGTTATGCGTGAAAATTGTACAAAATTCGTTTGTATTTGTAAAATAACTGTTGACCGTTGATAAGGATAAGAAAAAGAAAGACTGAACTGAAACTTATTTGAAAAGAGAAAGTAAAGTCTGTATGAAAAATGAGGTTATCGTTAAAAAATTACGAAGTGAATGAAAAGAAATTCCATCAGCCTTCGATAGCTCAGTTGGTAGAGCGGTGGACTGTAGTTGGAAAATTTGAAATTAACGGTTATCCATAGGTCGCTGGTTCAAATCCGGCTCGAAGGAATTTTTTTTTCGCAAAAATTATTTTTATTTTCTTCTTAATTTTTTTTTTATTTTTAGTTACTACTGTGAGTAAAAAAAGAAAAAAATGTAATTTTTAGTTAAATAATTCTTTTATTCATATTATTATTTGTAAAAATAATAATTGAATTCCTGCAACGAATTTTATTATTTATGAAAATAATTAAATTCTTGTAACGAATTTTAGTATTTATAAAAATAATTAAATATCTGCAACGAATTTTGTTATTTATGAAAATAATTGAATTCTTGTAACGAATTTTATTATTTACGAAAATAATTGAATTCTTGTCACGAATTTTATTAAACTTTTTTTTAAATACTTGAATTCCAGTAAAAAATTTCATAGTTTGTAAAAATAATTGAATTCTTTTTTTTATTTTATAAAAATTAAAAAGAATACTTCAAATATTTCGAATAACTTAATTAAAATTGGATTAAAAAAATTGAATTCTAGCAACGAATTTTAATTTTTTATAAAAATAATTAAATTCTTGAAACGAATTTTATTATTCACGAAAATAATTGAATTCTTGTCACGAATTTTATTAAACTTTTTTTTAAATAATTGAATTCCAGTAAAAAATTTCATAGTTTGTAAAAATAATTGAATTCTTTTTTTTATTTTATAAAAATTTAAAAGAATTAATTCAAATATTTCGAATAACTTAATTAAAATTGGATTTAAAAAAAATTGAATTCTAGCAACGAATTTTAATTTTTTATAAAAATAATTGAATTCTTGAAACGAATTTTATTATTCACGAAAATAATTGAATTCTTGTCACGAATTTTATTAAACTTTTTTTTAAATAATTTAATTCCAGTAAAAAATTTCATAGTTTGTAAAAATAATTGAATTCTTTTTTTTATTTTATAAAAATTAAAAAGAATACTTCAAATATTTCGAATAACTTAATTAAAATTGGATTTAAAAAAAATTGAATTCTAGCAACGAATTTTAATTTCTTATAAAAATAATTGAATTCTTGAAACGAATTTAATTATTTACGAAAATAATTGAATTCTTGTCACGAATTTTATTTAACTTTTTTTTAAATAATTGAATTCCAGTAAAAAATTTTATAATTTTTAAAAATAATTGAATTCTTTTTTTCATTTTAATTTAAAAGAATAATTATTAAAAGTTGAATTATTTTGGAAATTTGATTATATTCATGATATTATTTGAAATTTTAGCTTTGAATTTTAGTAAATTTTTTA